TGCATAGTAGAACCTTCCAGGGTTGGGGATGGCGTGTCTACTTACTCAGGCACCCCCTCTAGTCATCAGAATGGAGGTGCACAGACAGCAGGAGACCAATGAACTGATACAAAAAAAAAAAAAGAATGTCCACATCTGTATCTCCGCAGTTCTGTCAGGCATCCATGGCTGCTCTGATCCTTCTCCGGCTTGGTCTCACCCAAGATGGTGGCTCCAGGAACAGCTGTTGTTGTTGTTGTTGTTAAGTGCCATCGAGTTGATTCCGACCCATGGCGACCCTGTATAGGGTGAGCTTGAACCACCAGCCTCGCAGTTTAAACGGCTTTGCAGTTTGGCGCATTAACCCACAGCATCACACCAGGACTCCCCAGGAGCTGCTAAGTGTCTTTATTTAGAAAGCAATGGATTTCTTGCTTCTGCTACAAATTCCCCTAGCTATAAGCTTTCTAGCTTTCTAAATATTCCTTTATATGTGGTTCAGAGCCTGCTTAATCCAGTATTTTGTGTTGTTGCTATTGGAGCTCCTCACTACACTTCCACCCAATCCACCATCTTGTTTGTTCTCCTAAGCCTGGTCTTTAAAAAATAAAAATTATTTTTATTTTGAGCTTTGTTCCACGTTTTCTCCTATTCAGGACTTTCTAATGCTATGCCTTCCAGAACAATTGTTAGTGGTAGCCAGGCATGATCTAGTTCTTCTGGTCTCAGGATCATGGAGACTGATGTTATTGACCTTGGTCCCTTTAAAGGTGTTTTCTAACTAGCTGCATTGGAACATTGTATTTTTACACTAGGATGGACTTTTTGGTTTGGCCATAATTCTTTTTCTGAAGCACCTACTACTGTGTGCTAAAAACAAATAATTTAAATGGCATTATGGGTTAATGCGCCAGACTTCAGAGCCATTTGAACTGCAAGGTCAGTGGTTCAAGCTCACCAGCTGCTCCTCAAAAACCCTATACAGGGTTGCTATGGGTTGAATTGACTCGATGGCACATTACAACAACATGGAGACTGCCATGTAGATTTCAACTGACATGTCTTACTTTTTTGTATTAAGGTTTCTTTTCATTATGTCAATAAAATAATAGAAAAAAGTCAGTTGGATTTCTATACATGAGCAATGAGAAATCTGAAAGTTAGGGAAACCAGTCCATTTATAATAGCATCTATGAGAATAAAATAAATCTAACCAGAGATGTGAAGGACTTATGCAATAAAAAACATAAAACACAGCTGAAAGAAGACTTAAATAAATGGAAAGATGTTCCATGTTCATAGATTATAAGACTTAATATTGTTAAGATGTCAATACTGCCCAAAGCAATGTATACATTCAACACAATCCTGATCCAAATACCAACAGTTTTTTTTTTTTTTTACAGAAATAGAGAAACTAATCCTCAACTTTGTAAGAAATGGCAAGAGACAATGTTGAAAGAGGAAAACAAAGTACAAGGATTCATATTTCCTGACTTGAAAACCTACTTACTATACAACAACAGTGGAGTCTTGGTGTGGCAACGTAGGATTAGCATGGGACTGCAAGGTCAGTTTGAATTGCTGACTTATCAGCACTGAACATACACATTGTTAAGTTCTGTTGAGTTGGTTGTAACTCATAGTGACCTTGTACAAGGTTTCCAAGGAGCAGCTGGTGAGCTTGAACTACCAACATTGCGGTTCAAACCAACTTTGCAGTCCAGAACATTAACCCACAGCACCACATCAGTACGCCAACAATAGGCACCCTCAATGGGGTGTTCTGATGTGGTGCTATAGGGTAATCACTGAGCTACTAACCAGAATGTTGGAGGTTCTAATCCAGTAGCTGCTCCTCGGAAACCCTATAGAGGGTCACTATGAGTAGGATGACTGCACTTACAACAACACAACAACAATAATAATATACATTTGAGTTTGGGGTCTTTTCTCACCTAAAACTACTTGTCTCATTAAATGCTATAATGGGGGTAAGAAAGATTTACACAATGTGGTATTTCATTGTTGAACATGTAGTTCATTCTTGGTAGAAAGTAGAGAAAACCAGAAAGAAGTGCTTTATTGATTATGTAAAAGCTTTCAGCTGTGTCGATCATGACATATTAGGGATAACATTGCAAAGAGCGGGCATTCCAGAACACCTGATTGTGCTCATGAGAAGCCTGTACATAGACCAAAAGGTAGTCGGTTGAAGAGAACAAGAGAATACTGAATGGTTTAAAATCAGGGAAGGTGTGTACCAGGGTTGGATTCTTTTAGTATACTAATTCAACCTGTATGCTGAACAAATAATCCGATAAACTGAATTATATGAAGAATAACATGGTATCAGGATTGGAGAAAGACTCATTTACAACCTTCTATATGCAGCTGATACAATCTTGCTTACTGAAAGTGAAGACAACTTAAAAAAACTTACTGATAAAAATCAAAGGCCACAGTCTTCAGTATGGATTACATCTCAATGTAAAGAAAATAAGAATCCATATCATTGGGCCAATAACTGACTTCATGATAAATTGATAAAAGATTGAAGATGTCAAGGACTTCATTCTTCTTGTATCAACTGTCAACACTCACAGAAGCAGCAGTCAGGAGATCAGACAACATATTGCATTGGGCAAATCTGCTGCACAGGAACTTTTTAAAGTATTGAAGAGCAGAGATGTCAGCTTGAGGACCAAGGTGCGCCTGACCCAAGCCATGGTATTTTCAATAACCTCATATGGATGTGAGTGCTGGACGGTGAATAAAGAAGATCGTAGAAGAATTGATGTCTTTGAGTTGTGGTGTTGGAGGAGAGTACTAAAAGTGCCATGGACTGCCAAAAGAACCAATAGATCTGTTTTGGAAGAACTGCAGCCAGAGTGCTCCTTGGAGGCCAAGATAGCTAAACTTCGTCTCTCATACTTTGGACATATTGTCTGGAGGGAACAGTCACTAAAGAAGGATGTCATGCTGGGTAAGGTGGAGGGTCAGAGAGAAAGAGGAAGACCCCCAATGAGATGGATTGGCCAGGTGGCATCATTGATGGACTCAAGTGTGGCAGCGGTAGTGAGGTTGGCCCAGGATTGGACATTGTTTCGTTCTGCTGTGTATGGGGTCACTATGAGTCGGTTCCGACTCGATGGCACCTGACAATAACAACATCATGTATACAACAGCTAAGAAATTAAATGACATATTGTATTAGGCACATCTGTTGCGCAATGCATGTAAAAATTGGACAAAAATGAATAAGCAAGACCATAGAAGATTGATACATTTGAGTTATGGTGTTGGAGAAGAATATTAAAAGTATCTTAGACTGCCAGAAGAACAAATTTTTATTGGCAGAAGTAAACCCAGAATACTTCTTATAAGCCAGGATGGTGAGAGTTCGTCTCTTATACTTTGGGCGTATTATCAGTAGGGACCAGTCCATGGAGGAGGATATCAAAAGGGAAAGTTAACAAAAAAGAGGAAGAACCCCGTCAAGATGGATTGGCACAGTGTCAGAAGCAACTGGCTCAAATGTAACACTTATTATCAGGGTGGCACAGGACCGGGCAGTGTTTCATGCTGTTGTGCATAAGGTACATGAGTCAGAACCAACTTGATGGCACCTAACAACAATAACAACCCTAACATGCCCACAGCGTCCCAACTGGCAAATGGTTCAATAAGGCTATGTTGTTGTTGTTGTGAAGTGCCGTCGAGTCGGTTCTGACCCATAGCGACCCTGTACAGGGTTTCCGAGGGTGTAAATCTTTACAGGAGTAGAAAGCCTCATCTTTCTCCCGTGAAGCGGCTGGTAGTTTGGAACTGCTGACCTTAAGGTTCGCAGCCCAATTCATAACCACTACGCTACCAGAAGGCTATATAGATGATCAAATCTGAAGGAAAAAAACAAAACAAAAACAGAACAAGTTACAAAAACAACAAAGCAATAACCCTGAGTTAAGAAAGTAAGAAAATTATTTCTGAACTGAACCCAACTCAGTACACATAAGCCCAGATCAGCAAAATGATTCAAACTATCTTCCTCAAGATGGTTTATCTACAGTATTTGATTTAGTAGTTACATAATAATCTTTGTCATCTGAGCTTGGTCCAAAGGGGCCAAAATATAGGTGGGACTCTGCTCTTGTCTTTAATGAGGCTCTCTGGGAGCCTGGCTCCTCTGGTTGTGGAAACTCCTGTAAATACCTGCTCTCTGATTCTCCCAAACACCTTTCCTGCACAGAGAGTGAAGAAGATGAACTCCTTCTCCTCATCAACCCAGGAACTGCCCATATGTCCAAGACTCTCAATACCCACAATAGAGAGAAACACTGGGCACTCACACAGAGGTAAAGAACAGATGACAGCTACAGAGCCAGCCTCCCCCAGGTCAGATTACAACAGAGACTTCTCAATATTTGCTTATTAAAATATGAAGTATTTTAAGGAAGTTCTCTTGTTAAATCTTGCAGCTCTAGGGAGCAACACAAGAGTCCTGAATCCTTTAGCTTGAGGGTAAGATAAACCAGTAATAATTAAATAATTAGCTGTTTATCTTGTCTTTTTAGGAGCTACTGAGGTTTCAGGAAATGACTAGGAAATGTTAAAAGGGACAAATCAATCACAGAGATGAGCTGAGTATGTCTGTGTGTGCTTTATATAATAAAAAAGACCAGTCAAATGGGAGTGGTTATGAATTGGGCTGTGAACTGCAAGGTCAGCAGTTCGAAACTACCATCGGTTCCGTGGGAGAAAGATGAGGCTTTCTGCTCCCGTAAAGATTTACAGCCTCGGAAACCCTGTGCAGGATCGCTATGAGTCGGAACTGACTCCACGGCACTTAACACCAACAAGAAGGGGAAACCAGAATAGGTCTAGGGACTGGGAGAGGTCCTGACTGAGTAACTCTGATAAAGTGAGTAAGACCATGGCTGGAGCCTGACTTGTCCCATCTGAACCCTCAGTTTCTAGGCTTCTGCTCTGTGTTTCTCTTCTCTGCATCTGTAACTGGACCCATGAGTGGGACAAACAAGTCAAGTGTACCTGAGTTCCTCCTCCTGTGGCTCTCCAGGCAGCCCCAGCAGCAGCAGCAGCTCCTCTTCGGGCTCTTCCTGAGCATGTACCTGGTCACAGTCCTGGGAAACCTGCTCATCATCCTGGCCATCAGCACAGACTCCCGCCTGCACACCCCCATGTACTTCTTCCTCAGTAACCTGTCCTTCGTGGATGTCAGCTTCTCCTCTACCACTGTCCCCAAGATGCTGACCAACCACATACTCAGGAGTCAGACCATCTCTTTTTCAGGGTGTCTCACACAGCTGTATTTTCTCATTGTGTTTGGTGACATGGACAATTTCCTCTTGGCTGTGATGGCCTATGATCGCTTTGTTGCTGTGTGCCATCCCCTACACTACACAACAAGGATGACCCCTCAGCTCTGTGCTCTGTTGGTCTCTGGGTCCTGGGTCATTGCCATTCTGAATGCTCTGTTGCATACCCTGCTGATGGCTCGACTCTCGTTTTATGTAGACAACACGATCCCCCACTTCTTTTGTGATGTGTCTGCTCTCCTGAAACTCTCCTGCTCTGACACACACCTCAATGAGATGATGATTCTTACTGAGGGGTCCTTTATCATGATCACCCCATTTATTTGCATCCTGGTTTCCTACATTTGCATCACCTGGACTGTACTGAGAGTCCCGTCCACTAGTAGCAAATGGAAAGCCTTCTCCACCTGTGGCTCCCACCTGGCTGTGGTTTCCCTCTTCTATGGCACCATCATTGCTGTGTATTTCAACCCTTCATCCTCCCACTCAGCTGAGACAGACACTGCAGCTACTGTGTTGTATACAGTGGTGACCCCCATGCTGAACCCTTTCATCTACAGCCTCAGGAACAAGGAACTGAAAGGGGCCCTAAGAAGAATGATCAGCAGAAAAAGATTTTCTACCTGATGAAAGCATCAAAGTTGAATCCTTTCCACAAAAAACATATTTTTCACCATTTAAATATAAGGGTACAGTTGTTTTGTCAAAGCCATCTGAAACAAACATGTTGCTACAGGCACATAGAAGGATATTTTAACTTATTTATCAGTAACCTGGATTTTACCTGCAATCCTGCCCTATATGCCAATAACGGGACTTCATTTTGATCAATATCTTGTGAATTATTTGCATCACAGGTTGCCTTTATTGGGCACTCTTTGTATAGACACATGCTAAAGTAGTTTTGAATTTTATAATCCACTGGGAAATTTTTGAAATTTTGTCCCCTGCACTGACCAAATATATCAGAATCTCCAGAAACTGATAAATTTATGAGGATTGAGAATCACTGGACTTATTGCTCCTTTAGATGTCCTCTGTGATGGTCAGCCATAAAGGGTGCATCATAAACCCTCTCACAAACTAGTTTTTAGACTCAGACAAAAGAATGACAGGAGGAAATCTGAGGACTCACGTGGGTCATAGCATTTCCAATGAGAACAGAGTCCTGGTGGGTATTGTGGCACAGAGCACCAAGATGTGAGGAAACCCAGTATTGTGGAACCCCTTTATGACCATCAGGTTTGGCTTCTTGACTTTGAGGGATGGATCTAGTCAGAGTCATGTCTTTGAAATCAGGGAAATAAAGATTTGTTATTTCCTTTTCCCAGACCAACTCCCCTTGTGTTGTTCAGGCTTGCAACCTTCTTCTCATCACATACCTTTAATGACCATGTCAAAGGTCACCTTCTACTCCATGAGTCATTCCTAACTTCCTCTTCTGGAACACAGTTCTATTTTTTGGGTGGATTGCACACTGTGTTATTTTTACCTTTCTCCTTTCTCCCCTCCAGAAGGCTTTACACATAGTATGAGATACCTTGGGTCCAAATGCACTTAATGTTCATCTTGGAGCTGCAGTTTTTGGCAGTGTTCCAGGATCCAAGGCCATGATCATCTTAGGTGAATCCCACATCGGAAGGACAAAACCCATAAGGAATAAAATGAAAACAACCTGAAACCTTGCTACTTGGGATAACCATATTGTTATTTTTAAGTGCTATCAAGTTAGTTCTGAATCATAGTCACTCTGAATAGGGTTTCCGAGGCTGTAAATCTTTTTTTTTTTTTTTAAACTGTTTTATTGTGAATGATGTGATAGTTTACATGGGAGAATATTAGTTTTACATTCATCCTATCATATATCGTTACATTGCCATGGTTACAATCCCCTCCATGCATCATCAGCCAACCAAAGGGTACACCCCACAAGCCTGCCCCCGGTCATCAGCACACAGCCCCTCTCCCTCTCTGGGTCTAGAGTTCTCAGCTGTTCCATCTCTCCATGTCATCGTCTCTGCCTCCATCTCTGGTGTCACTGCTTCTCTGGGTAGGGTCCCACTCTGCTCCTCTCCTTTGATGGTCCTAGGGGCCTCTGTTCCTGGCCTGCAAAGTCAACCACTCCCCTCCTGTTGCTACAAAACATCAACCTTTATATTTCTAACCCTCACAGTCAGTCCTGATAGTAATTATTCACTGTTGTACCACATGAGTGCTACTCCCATCTCCTTTCATCAGTCCCGCCCAGACAGATTGGGTACTACTCTGGAAATTCTACCTTCCTTTGCGCCCTCTGGATCTAGGACCCCTCTTGAAAGCTTGTAAGCTAGTCACTTCTAGCTTTTGGGTAGCCAATGTCCAAGTTGCCCATCCCTGTCTACCCTGTGTATTGAGGGGGTGGGAATGATCCTTGATGTAAAGGGCTGTAAATCTTTATGGGAGCAGAAAGCCTCATCTGTCTCCCATGGAATGGCTGGTAGTTTTGAACTACTAACCTTGGGGTTAGAAGCCCAATTCGTAACCACTACGCTATCAGAGCTCTTTGTTCTGACTCATAGTGAACTTATTTAGTGTTTCCAAGAAGCAGCTGGTGGGTTTGAACTGCTGACTTTGTGGCTCAAACTAATCATAGTGACACATTTAAAAATCAAGTTTTTCTAAAACTTTTGTTGTAAGTGCCGTTGAACTGGTTCTCACTCATAGTGACTGTATACGGTTTCTGAGGAGCAGCGGGGTCTGAACTACTGACCTTGTGGTTAGCAGTCCAGGGCTTAACCTACTGACATCTATTTATATTATTCTGTATCCTGATGTTTCCATTTCCTTCTTCCCATGTCAGCAAAGCACTTAGAAATGTGAACCATATTTCATTACATGCATGTAATGTTTGATCTCTTCTCCAACTCTGAACAACTTTAAGTGTCCTGATGTGGCCCTGAGGGTTAATGCACCAGATTACAAAGCCATTTGAACTGCAAGGTTGGCAGTTCAAGCTCACCAGCTGCTCCTCGGAAACACTATACAGGGTCGCTATGGGTCAGAACTGACTTGACAGAACTTAACAACAACAACAACTATAAATAGCACAGCTGCCCACACGCTCAGGTGTAATGTTCTGTCTGTATTCCTGATGATTGCCAGAGGTAATCTGTGCATTTAACCTCTCTAGCTTGGGCTATAAATTAAGGGGATCTTTCCATTATTTCTTCAATTCTTCCTACTTGATCCCACCTGCCATTTCTAGGAAGGGCTAGTACCTTCCTCTGAGTGTCTAAGCTCTCCAGAAGCCCAGGAGTCTGAAGGAGCCAGCCGATCCTCATTTCCGCCGCTAGGTGGGGACACAGCACTGAGGCTGGCTGGCATGATTGGGTGAGTTCCTGGCACATGGCATGTCTGTTAGACCATGGGCTTGTTTGAGTGTCTGCAGATCTGTCTGCTGCAGCATTGATATCTACTGCCCACATCACTGTGGTGGGATACCTGTGTCCATTTTGATTTCTAGGCCAAGGATGACGGGGTCCCATTCACTTTCTCCTCTATGAAAGTCTGCCTCTGAGCTGCGGTAGCTGCTCACAGGCGTGTGTAGTCCTACTGTCTGAAACCAGCTCCCTGCTTGAATATCTGGGTATCAGAACACTGAACTCAGATTTACCCATCTCTTTTTGAGATCTCCCTGGGAGTTTTTTACGATGAACTTGACATCAGTCAAGATTTGTTCTACCCAAGATATTGCTTTCAGGGATTGCCTTGTGTTCCCACCAAAATGTGTACTGCAAATCCTACCCCTACACCTAGGGATGTAATCCCATTTAGGAAAAGGGTTTTCTCTGTTAATGAGGCTCTATCAATGTACAGTATGCTTTAAACCTACTCACATTTGAGATATAAAAGGAGCCAACTAGGCACAGAAAGCAAGCACAAAGGTAGGGGAAGATTGCATGCCACGTGTAGATTGCCAAGCTATCCAGAAACACCAGGTCTATAGCAACAGGCAGAAAGCTTCCCCTTGAGCCTGCTCCCTGAATTCTAGCCGTCAACCTTCTGAAGGATGAGAGCATGAGTGTCTGTTTGTGAAGGCCATCTGTTTGTGGTAGTGCTGGTACGGCAGCACTGTTGTTAGGTGCCGTGGAGTTGGCTCTGACTCCTATTGACCTTATGCACAACAGAATGAAACACTGTCCAGTCCTGTGCCATGTTCACAATTGTTGCTGTGCTTGAGCCCATGGCCGCTGCCACTGTGCCAATCCATCTGTTTGGGGGGCCTTCTTGTTTTTCACTGACCCTCCACTTTACCAACCACGATGTTCTTCTCCAGGGACTGGTCCCTCCTGACAATATGTCTGAAGGACGAGAGATAAAGTGTCACCATCCTAACTTCTTGTGACACAGATTTGTTTGTTCCTCTAGCAATCAATGGTATTTTTAATATTCTCCAACACCATAAATCAAATGCTTAAGTTATTCTATGGTCTTCTTTACTCATTGTCCAACTTTCGCATTCATATGAGTCTATTGAAAATACCATGTCTTGGGTCAGGCTCACCTTAGTCCTCAAACATGACTTTGCATTTGAACACTTTAAAGAGGTATTGTGCAGCAGATTTGCCTAATGCAATAAACTGGGTTTTTTTTTTTTTTGACTGCTGCTTCCCTGAGTGTTGATTGTAGATCCAAGAAAAGTGAAATCCTTGACAATTTCCATCTTCTCTTCATTTATCATGACATTATTTATGGGTCCAATTGTGAGAAATTTTGTTTTCTTTACAGTGAGGTTCAATCCATACTGAAGGCTGTGATCTTTGATGTTCATCAGTAAATATTTTAAGTCCTCTGCACTTTCAGCAAGCAAGGTTGTATCATTTACTTATGTACCTTGTTATGAGTTTTCCTCCAATCCTGAGGTGCCACTCTTCTTCATGTTGTCCAGCGTCTTGGATTATTTCCTCAATGTGCAAATTAAATTAGCATGGTGAAAGAATACATCTATGGCACACACCTTTCCTGATTTTAAACCAGAATTTTGAATTTAGTTTCCCCTTGTTCTTTTCAAATGACGGCCTCTTAGTCTATGTACACATTCTTCATGAGCACGATCAAGTGTCCTGGAATACCCATTCTTCACAATGTTATCCACAGCTTGTCATGATCCACACAGTGTAAAACCTTTGCATCGTGAAAAAACACTAAGTATAAAACAATAGCGACAACTATAACATAGAATTTGATTAAGTATATATGACAATTTACTTACTTGCTTTTAATATCATTTTTTAAAATGAATTTTGGTGGTACCGGTGCTGTCACGTCAATTTCAACTCACAGTGATTCTATGTACAACAGAACAAAACACAGCTATGTCCTTGGCGATCCTCAAACTTTTTCCCTAAGTTTGAGCCCACAGTTATAACCACTGTGCCAATCCATCTTGTTGTGAGGGTCTTTCTCTTCTTCACTGGTCCTCTACCAAGCATGGTGTCGTTCTCTAGAGACTGACTCTCCTGTTAACATGCCCAAAGTAAGAGATGGAATCTTTTCGTCCTCACTTCTAATGCGCATGCCCAAAGTAAGTGTGCTGGACTCTTTCCGTCCTTACTTCTAATGGGCATTCTGGGTGTACTTCTTCTATC